GTTTTATCCTATATTCTATATATATATATATATATATATATATATATATATAATATAACGATTATTATATTATATTATAATATTATATTAGACAGTTTAATAATGAATAGTTATTATGCAGTGTAATATCGTATATTATACATTATATTTTTAGATTACATTAGTTTATATGATACTATACACACACATATATATAAACAAAAAGTCAAGTCTTGCCCTAATTTTCACTTGTCACATTATGGAAGTAAAATAGCTTGTGAAAGTCAATTTGTGTTGACTGACTAAAGATAGAAGGTTGTATTTCACAATAAAATGCTTTTCTGCTTTTGAAAGAGAGCCCAGCAAAAATGAGGTATTTCATATCAAAATATTAATAACACAATCAGCATATTCAACTTCCTTTTACACCCCTCGTTGCCTCAAAATAATCCCAATTTATGTTTCAATGAGTTCCCCAAGTAACAGATTTACACGCCACCCTTTAATCAATTACTTCCTCTGCAAACGTAACGCTCACCACCTACACAGAGACACACTGCAGACAGTGAGTTTCCCCAGTGACACACTCTACGGCTGATAAATCTCAGTGTTTGTGGGCGTCAGACTAAAGGAGTGGGGAAAAAACCCAACCTTTTTACAGGCGACTCCTCCATAGCAGAGGAAACTCTTCATTAATCTCACGCAGGAAAAGTCAGCCAGGATCCTCCTTGCAGACATGGAGGTGGGAGAGCAGTTATGTAACACAACTCCCTCTGGAAATGTCCCGTTCCAGAGGAGCCATGAAGATAATAGCTGGTGATATACTGTAGCCACCGATAGCTGAATATAATCCTCTTTAACTTCGATACTAGCTACAATAAAACGTGCGTTTGCTGCAAAAGAGATGCTCGTCACAGCAACCTCTGGTTGCTACGTGCCTAGTAAGACGCAGTAAAACTTTAAAAGCAGTCAGAGTCGAATAATACATCAAAGCTATTGCTCTGTTGAGATTATGACAGCATAGACTTTTGTATTAAACATAGTTTGGGGATGTTTTGCGTCGTCTTTTGCATTTGAACATTCAAAGATGTATTTCCTTCATTCATTATCTCAAAACCCATACATACGTTTGCAGATCTGTTTTAGCATTCAGTCAGATGTGTCTCCTCCAATCAGATTACAGAAAGGAAGGAGATGCAAGGATACCGGAGTCGTCCATCTCCGCCTCTTGGACTGTAAAGAGGGCCATTTCTCGCCATTACCTAAGGTGCCCTCTCGTATCATGTGCTGGACCTTCTCTTCAGCCGAGACGCTTTGAAAGAGGACACCTGGGCCTCCGGGCAACAGAAGGCTAATGTACTCTGTTAAATCATTTATCACTAAGTGGCAGCGAGGTAGCCCAGGAAACCAGAGCGTGCTGCTGCGGCTCTGTCAGGGCAGGGTGTGCTAATTGACTGAGAGGAGAGAGTATGTAAACCAGAGCAATTTCAACCCACCAAGCATTGATACCCTTCTTTGAGTTTACTCTGAGAAATGGGGCATGAAGCGTTCATTATGCTCAAAGCTTGCTGACAGGAAAAGGGTGAAGAGAAAGTTTTCAACAATTTGAGATGCTGTTTTATGCTCTGATAGTTCAGAAGAAGCATTAGGATGACATTGTCATTTTTAGATTGAGGGTTTTGGAAAAGCTGAAAGAGTTGCATTTGGGCAGGTTTGACTCATTTTAGATGCCCAACAGACACATTTTTCTGAAGGAAAAGCTCATGTTGCTCACCAGAGTTTAGGGACTTCATAGTAATGGATGAATGACAAATACAGATGTGCAAGATGATGTAACGGAGAAAACTTTTAAAAGTCATTCACAAAATGACCCATGTTCTTAGAAATTAAGTCTTTGTTGGTTTCATACAGTTTTGTATTTTCATAGATATATTTAAAATCTATCTATTTATCTATCTATCAAAACATGTTCATCATAGAAGAGGTGTCATTATTTTTTAATTATTTAATAGATTTGGACTTAAGCAGTCATTACTTTGACTCTGATGGCATCCTTAGCTTTTTCGTTGATAAATTATGAAAACAGTTTTGACAGCGATTGTGTAAGGCTGAATGTTTGCGAAATGTTGCCCTCATTGTTTGCATATAGTGAAACCACAGATTAAACCAAGTCTCCTCTCAAACTCTTTCCATTTCTTCTGCGTTCATCGTATGAGAAGAGCAGCAGCCTCACGGGGGCTTCTCCACCCTCCAGCAGTTGACTGAACAACAGAGCTGCTCCTCAGAGCAGGAACGGGGGGGAGATGAAAACAGACTCATTAATAATGAAGGGAGAGTGAGGCTGAGTGCCAGAGCTAGTTTAAGACGCTGAGGTATTTCACAAGTTGCTCTGCCTGAAAGTAGGTCAGCCTGTGAGACCAGCACTTTTCAAACTGACACACCCACACGCCTCGAACGCAGACTTACAGCTCGTCATTCCTGCCCGGTTTTAGGTCTATTCAGGCCACAATTTGTCAAGAGATCTCCTCATGTGGGGTTTGTGTGTATGTGCAGAGGGTTACAGTCACCTTTTGACCCGTACAGAATGACAGCGATTTAATCTCGGGAGTTCGCCAGGTTGCAGTACTGATGGTTGCTAGGAGGCGGATGCCGTAATGTTGTTGCTGGTCATAGCTGTAGAAAATCAGATTAAAAAAAGAGATAAAAATGAAAATGAAACAATTTTCTTGATGCTAAATGTGAACACTCTGGAGGAGATTGTGTTTGTATAGTATATAAACTGCAGCAGTATATATATAATATAAATATAATATATCATAACATGATGAAGAGAAATCATTATTAATTCATGAATCAAACTCACTTAAAATGCAAACAATTTCTGATGCAGTTTTCCTTGTATCATTTTTTTTATTATATAGATATACACTACTGTTCAAAAGTTTAGGATCAGTAAGAAAAACTAAGAAACTTATTTCAAAAATATTTTAAAAACTTACCGACCCCAAACTTTTGAAATCATACAGAACAGTAAACTCACATTAACGTCTCTGTTGTATCACGTTTTCTTCACTCACTTCACATTGATATTTAATTAGCTGCACTTTTACATAGACAAATTTTTCTCACTAATAAGTCATGTTGCTTTGTCACTGCAGATTTATGTCAGTGTGAATGCCCCTTTGTAAGGGTTTAGATGCTGATGGCGATGGATTTCGTGTGTCTTCCTGCAGTATCTGACTGACTTGTTTTTCATGTCACACTCTTTGTTTCTGTAGTGGGATGGTGTGGGACCACTGCCAGATACTGCTGAGCCCCCCAAAGGGATTCAGATGCTGTGGCATCCTTCGATAGTAAAGCCCTACCTCACCCTCCTGTCTGAGTGCTCAAACCCGGACACGCTGGAGGGAGCCGCTGGGGCACTGCAGAATCTGGCTGCTGGGAGTTGGAAGGTAAGCCCTATGGTCAGTTGCCTTGTGTACGCATCTGTCTGTGCTGGAGATATGGCTTGGTATGCAACAAATATTGTTTAAAATACAAGTAGATTATCTGATAATTATGTGTCAGCATTCATCATTGGTTTTTCATGTAATTATGACTTTTACTTTCTGTAGGGTTAGGAGTATTTAAAAACATTAAAATAATTTTAAAAAATAATAATAAATATATTCAAATGGTTATCCATTTAATATTTTTGTATAGTTTTATTTTAAATTATTGGTAGCTGTCTGAGTGTAAACCAATGTATTCTTAGCATTGAGGGCCTTTAAAAAAACATAAAAATAATTAAATATTTCAATAATAAAAAAAGATTAAAATGTTTATCTGTTTATTAATTTACCTTTACACCTTTAAAGTATTACAATTCAGCATGTCACACACATCTGAATGATGCCGTAATTTGTCTGACTTTCTGTGCTATTACTTTCCAAGGCAATCAGTCTTATGATTTCCAAAAAACTCATATATTTCACTGTAGGAAGTATTCTAGAGCCAGAATATTATAAATAACAGTTCTCTTTTGACTTGGTCCACCTAGCATTGGACAAACAACCACATAGCAGCATGATAAGAACCGCTCAGAGCACCTTAGCTTAGCAACACTCTGGTACCTGATATGTTTTTTTTACTGAAAGTTTTATTAGCTGTTGTCAGGATCTAAATATATTGAACGGTGCAAGAAGAAATGGTGTAAAATTGCATTTTTCCTGACCTGAAACTGGTTGCTTTCATCAGATGTTTAAACCAGTACCAATCTCCCTCTTGGCCCGTGCTTCTCTCTTTGTTCTCACATCCTTTTCACCATCTCTCAGCGTCAAAAGCTTGTTTTACCTCTGTTGCTCGAGAGCTCTAATCCACCCGATGTGCTCTACAAGATCAATACTCTCAGATGGAGACAGATGCAATAGGATTGGATTGGTTTTGAAGTCTCATAACAGGTTTAGACCACCTTCAAGAAGTTAAATGAAAGCAGCGTCCATACGACCCCTCTCCACACCTACAGGCCATGAGGTTGTATTCGTGTTTGCTGTTGTGTTGAGTTTGTTGGAGAGACAAACAGGAAAGCAGTCCAGGTCCCATAATTGGCTGCTCTGTTTGTTCATCTAGAAGAGCTGACATTGAGCCCCCGTCTAATATGTGTGAACTAAGCTCTCTGTTTATGTTTTCAAAGTTCCTCTCGGACAGTGGGATTATTAAATCCCACGCTGTGTGTACTAGGAAATGGAAACAAAGCCCTTAACTTAAGATGGATCAAAAACAGTCAAGCGTGAAGTATGCTTTCTCGTCAAAAACTCCTTTTCAATTACAGTTTCAAGGATATTTATTGCATTGCATTACTTATATGTATTTTTATACAGTTTTAATGAACTGTGATGTTGATTTTCACTAAATGACAGATTTACATTTCCACACACTAATTTTAAGTGCCATTTCTCTGTTCCTAAACCCAGTTAGATGCCTCTGTGATGTACTTTGCCTGATTTAACACAATTTCCTTTGAACTACACTAAATGAATAAGTGTCGGTGTCACTCAAACTAGCGACAGATAAAGAGAGCACACAATCATTCAGATTAGACTGTGCTTTGCTGTTTGGTGATTATGCGACATCAAACCATGAATACAGTATCGATGTGTCAGAGGTGAATATACAGTCAAACCAAAAATTATTCAAAAACCAGATATCATTTTTGATATTTTTTACTACTGGGTGCAGGACACTATAGTTCATTTATGTAAGTGAGGATAGCAAAATAAAGTGAACTGTGACATATTATACCCAAAAATTCTTCATACAGTGGACTACCAGTAAAATTTATAAAAATTTGGGACCAAAAATTATTCAGACACTTTGACCTGACCATGTTTTGCTTAAGTGTTATCAGACATTATCAAGAGGTATTTGTTCTGATACAGTTTAACTTATTATAGTGAATAAATTGTGATAATGTGTGAAATGTTGAAGGTGTCTGGATAAATTTTGGGTTGACTGTATGCAGGTTATAAAGCATTTTAGGTTTGTGTGTGTTCAAGAAAACCAATGTATGCAGTGAAAGAGGCTTGACTAATAGTTTTATTAAATTTTTTATTTATATCAGTTTTTTTGATCAAATAAACCTTGGTGAGCATAAGAATCTTCTTTCAAAAAAAAAAACGTACTGACTCCAAACTTTTGAAAGATACATTTGGAAAAGGAAAGACACATGAAATGGTTTTGAATTTGTTCAAAATTAGGTGTCTTATTGGGCTGTCAAATGTTTAATCATGATTTATCACATCCAAAATTAAAGTTTGTGTTTACATATTATATATGTGTGTGTACTGTGTATATTTTTATATTTAAGAAAAATATTTTATATTTAGATATAAAATATTACATATAGCCTTTGAAACTTTTAATTCTGGAGTGAATTTTTTCTAGGTACACAGCTTGCAAGGTTTAGGACAGAGCTTCTCTGTCATTGTGTTTTTGTCTCTCTTTTTTTTATGCACACATACAGAGGTCATCAGAAATGAGGAATGTGAGGGGATGCCTGCTGGGCCGTATGCTGCGGTCTCCCCTGTTACAGCAGAAGTGCAGGGTAGCAGAGAGTCTAATCTGAGCTGACACTCCGTCACTGATAAAGGCTGATCCCACAGCTGGGGTCATACATAGAGAACCTCAGAAAGCTAAAGCTCTGAGCTAGTATTAGTCTTACACTGTAACCTGGGGAGTGTGATTACACTGTCAGCAGGGTGCTGATCCAAAATGAGACACTTTACAGACATTGGTATATCCAACTATGACGATACACTTCATGGTCTCCTGAAAACTGCTGATATGTAGAATTATATATAGTAAAGTGGCCGAATGGTATCATTTGTCATATTTGTTCACCTGTTTGTGTGTGTGTGTGTGTGTGTGTGTCTCCCCTAGTGGTCAGTGTACATCCGTGCGGCGGTAAGGAAAGAGAAGGGTCTGCCAATCCTTGTGGAGCTGCTGAGGATAGACAACGACCGTGTGGTGTGTGCCGTCGCTACCGCGCTCAGAAACATGGCCTTGGATGTCAGAAATAAAGAGTTAATCGGTACGGCCCTTTTTTTCCTTCTCTTGACTGTCTTCTTTTATTTTATTAGTCACTGTGATTCACTTTGTTTCAAATGGTTCAAAGCCATTGGATTTGTAGTGCTCATGGTTAACAGCTGTGGTCTCTTTGGCTTCTCTGTAATGAAGTCCAGTCTCTTATGTTTTAGCCAGTGTGGTAAAGAGGGCCATTCGTAGCTCTCAGCTCAGAGGAAGATAACTGTCATTTTATTATTACACATTTCCTGCCCACTCATCATTTTAAATGGGTTAGCAGGCATCAGGCTGCACTTTCGCATTCTAGGCTTGTGTAACTGTATATACAGTATAGTGTATATATTTTTGGTTTTGTTTGGGGTTTTGGGATTTCTTTATTGCTGACTTTGCTGAAAGTGACATTCAACTCAAAAGTTTTGCATTTGTGTATGGAGGCTACTCAAAGGGTCATTCCAAAGTGACTGTTTGATTTTTATTTTTGTTTTGTTTTTGTTTTGTTTTAGTCTGGTTTGTTTGTTTGTTTTGTTTTATTGTTGTTGTTGTTTTTTAGTCGTTATTGTGTAGCTAACTTTACTGAAAGTGACATGCAACTCAAAAATGTTGATGTTTTGCATGGAGGGTTCTCAAATAGATGATCCTATTGAACTGTTTTAATTTTTCTTTTGGATTTTGTTTTGTTTTGGTTGTTTTAGTTGTTGTTTTAGTTTGGTTTGGTTTTTGTTTGGTTTCTTTTTTTATTTGTTTTGTTTTGGCCATTTAGTTTGGTTTGGGTTTTTTGTTGTTGCTTGTTGTTGTTTTATTCTGCTGACTTATTCTGTCTTTACTGTCTTTTTGTTGTTTGTTTGTTTGTTTTTGTACTGTTCAGTTGACTTTACTGAAAGTGGCAAAGGTTTTGGAGGTTTTTCAGAGGGTCAATCCAAATTAAACTAACCAGCTGTTTAAATCCTTTCACAAAGAGCCCTTCCTCAACACCATTAGCAAAGCTTTCATATAATTCTCACTTCAAGAAAGCAATTTTGTCATTTCTGCTCATGTGATACCTGGTGAAACATCCTCACAATTAATTATGTAAACTGGGGGCATTTATTTGTTACTCACAAAATTTCTTATTATTTAACCTATTTTCTTGTCTGTTTACCGCAAGTGCCACTAAAAGCAGTACACAAGTTAAAATAAATTAGAATGAATGATACAAGGCCAAATTTTATTTTTAATTTTAATTTTAATTTAAGTTTCATTTGCTACAAGTGTGAGGATAAATTTTGCTGTTTTGCTACTAAGGGTAACAATAAGATACAATATAGGCCTATCTTTGTGTGAAGGGTTCCAAATGTGTACACATAAGGCAGTCAAGCCCTGCACCCTTCAGAGTGCTCACTTCAAGTGCTGTGTCCTTCAGAATGAGTAGGGCATAGTTATGTTCACTTTCAGTGGAATTCGCCCAATATCTTGTTGTAAACTAACCAGCTGTTTAAATCCTTTCACAAAGAGCCCTTCCTCAACACCATTAGCAAAGCTTTCATATAATTCTCACTTCAAGAAAGCAATTTTGTCATTTCTGCTCATGTGATACCTGGTGAAACATCCTCACAATTAATTATGTAAACTGGGGGCATTTATTTGTTACTCACAAAATTTCTTATTATTTAACCTATTTTCTTGTCTGTTTACCGCAAGTGCCACTAAAAGCAGTACACAAGTTAAAATAAATTAGAATGAATGATACAAGGCCAAATTTTATTTTTAATTTTAATTTTAATTTAAGTTTCATTTGCTACAAGTGTGAGGATAAATTTTGCTGTTTTGCTACTAAGGGTAACAATAAGATACAATATAGGCCTATCTTTGTGTGAAGGGTTCCAAATGTGTACACATAAGGCAGTCAAGCCCTGCACCCTTCCGAGTGCTCACTTCAAGTGCTGTGTCCTTCAGAATGAGTAGGGCATAGTTATGTTCACTTTCAGTGGAATTCGCCCAATATCTTGTTGAGTGGTACTTCATCACGTTTCCACTGTTTAGGACAAGATTAACATGGAAGAGATGAGAGTTTCATGGCTTGGCGCACTGCACCGCATTAGAAGAGCTCAGGTTATGCCTCTGAATAGTGAGGACAATGTGTTCATGGTCTTTGTGACTTTCATGGTCATTGCTGACTAAGAATTAGCCTTTTCTGTTTCTGTAAGCATCAGGGGCGGTTCTGGGGGGGGGGGGGGGCGGG